TGTCACTAGTCACCCCCTCCCTCACTCTGTCACTGTGTCACCCCCTTCCTCACTCTGTCACTAGTCACCCCCTCTCTCACTCTGTCACTAGTCACCCCCTCTCTCACTCTGTCACCAGTCATTCCCTCACTCTGTCATCAGTCATCCCTTCCTTCCCTCACTCTGTCACTAGTCATCCCTTCCCTCACTCTGTCACCAGTCATCCCCTCACTCTGTCACCAGTCCCCCCTTCCTTCCTTCACAGTGACAGAGTTAGGGAGGGAGTGACTAGTAACAGAGAGAGTGATGGGGTGACTAGTGACAGAGTGAGGAAGGGGGTGACTAGGGACAGAGTGAGGAAGGGGGTGACTAGGGACAGAGGGGGTGATTAGTGACAGAGTGAGTGAGGGGGTGACTAGTGACAGAGTGAGGGAGCGGGTGACACAGTGACAGAGTGAGGGAGGGAGTGACTAATGACAGAGAGAGGAATGGGGTGACTAGTGACAGTCACCCCCTCCCTCACTCTGTCACTAGTCACTACCTTCCTCTGTCACTGTGTCACTCACTCTGTCACTAGTCACTCCCTCCCTCTGTCACTAGTCACTCCCTCACTCTGTCACCAGTCATCCCCTCACTCTGTCACCAGTCATCCCCTCACTCTGTCACCAGTCATCCCCTCTCTGTCACTAGTCACCTCTTCCCTCCCTCACTTTGCCACTAGTCATCTCTTCCCTCCCTCACTCTGCCACTAGTCACCCATTCCCTAACTCTGTCACTAGTCACCCCCTCTCCCTCCCTCTGTCACTAGTCACCCACTCCCTCCCTCTGTCACTAGTCACCCACTCCCTCACTCTGTCGCCAGTCACCCCCACTCACTGTGTCTTCCCCTCACTCTGCCACCACTCAACCCCTCCCTCACTCTGCCACCAGGTACCCCCTCACTCTGCCACCTGTCACAACCTCCCACACTCTTCCACCTGTCACCTTCTCCCTCACACACTCTGTCCAGGGCCGGATTAACATAGGGGCTGATGGAGCTGCAGCTCCAGGCCCAGGCCCATGGAATAGGCCCATTTAAAAAAAAAAAAAAAAAATTCTCTCTTTTTTTTTTCTTTTTTTTTTTAACACACAACTCTTAGGTTTTCCACCTGACTGGTATTTTAATGGCACAGATGGTATTTGAGGCTGCCTGGCCGTGCCGGTATTGCAGTAATACTGGCAATACAAGTGCAGGTAATTTTCTCAGAATAAATGGAAATTACTCTGCAATACCAGCACCGGCCAGTAGGGGTCACTGTGTGTGGAGAGAGGCAGGGATAGGAACTTACAGAATATCACTGCCTCTCTCTACTACTCACTGATCCGTGGGGGAGCAGCTACACAGCACAGAGAGTCCAGACAGCAGCTGCACAGCTCAGGTAAGTGAGGGATGGGGGGAAAGGCAGCAGGGACACATGGGGATACTGAGACACTAGGGGACACATGGGGACACTGAGACACTAGGGGACATAAGGGGACACTGAGACACTAGGGGACACAGACACTAGGGGACACATGATGACACATACACTAGGGGACATTGAGACACTAGGACACATGGGGATGCTGAGACACATGGGGATGCTGAGAGACATAGGGACATTGGGAGAAATTGGGACATGGAGACACTATGACACTATGTCCAGTGTCCCTAGTGTCTCTGTGTCCCCAAGTCTCCCAGTGTCTGTGTCCCATGTCTCTGTGTGCCTAGTGTCCCCATGTGTTCCAATGTCCCCATGTGTTCCAATGTCCACATGTCTATGTCCACAACTGTCCCCATGTCTCCCCAAGTGTCTGTCTCCCAGCCAGTATCCCCTAGTCTCCCAGTGTCCCCTAGTCTACCAGTGTCCCCTAGTCTCCCAGTGTGCCTGGTGTCCCCATGTCTCCCAGTGTCCCTATATGTCCCAGTGTCCACATGTCTATGTCCACAACTGTCCCCATGTCTCCCAGTGTCCCCAAGTGTCTGTCTCCCAGCCAGTGTCCCCTAGTCTCCCATTGTCTGTGTTCCCATGTCTGTGTCCCTAGTGTCTTAGTGTCCCCAAATGTTTCAGTGTCCCCATGTCTCCCAGTGTCTGTGTCCCTAGTGTCTCAGTGTCCCCATTTCTCCCAGGTTCCCTAAATATCTCAGTGTCCCCATGTCTCTCAGTGTCCCCAGTATCCTAGTGACATGGGGACACACTGAGACATTGGGACACTGGGAGAAATGGGGACACAGACACTGTGATACATAGGGACACTGAGACACTGGGTGACTTGCGAGACTGAGACACTGGGAGACAGGGAGACACTGGGAGCAATCCATCTATACAGCAGAATCAAACTGTGAGTAGTTTGGTGATTTTACAGAATTTTCTCTGATGTCACTCCTTGTGATTTACATCACGTGATGTCACGCATAACTAATTAATTATACAAATGATTAAGGCTGGTATTTTTTTCCAAGAAAGGTGGCAACCTTAACTTCTCTTCACATACTCTTGCTTAAAGGAGCACTATAGGGTCAGGAACACAATCATGTATTTCTGACCCTATTATGTTAAAACCACCACCCTGGCCCCTTCTTGCCTCCCTAAATATAGTAAAATATTACTTGTATTCAATTCTGCAGCTGCTGGCTCAGAAGTGGTGGTCTGAGAAAATTACAATACTTCCCCATAGGATTGGCTGAGACTGTCAACTAGGCAGATCAGGGGCAGAGCCAGCACAAGTCCAACATAGCCCTGGCCAATCAGCATTTCCTCATAAATATAAATTGAATCAATGCATCTCTATGAGGAAAGTTCAGTGTCTGCATGCAGAGGGTGGAGACACTGAATGGCAGTGCTGCACACTAGGCAGTACTGCCCCAGGAAGCACCTCTAGCAGCCATCTAAGGAGCGGCCAGTGGAGTTATTTTCTCAGAAAAGACAGTGTTTACTGCAAAAAGCCTGAATGGAATGATTCTACTTACCAGAACAAATACAATAAGCTGTAGTTGTTCTGGTGACTATAGTTTGGAAGCTTAAGAGGGATGTATGGGAACAACACTTGTGTGCACTGGCTGACATTAAAGTTAGTTTAGGTAATGCAGACGTTGGTCTCTCTAACACTATGGCATGTCCCCTTTCTTCTACACTCACTACAGACACCTTTTCTCTGTCTCAGACTATACCAGGAACTTCTGCCTGCTAGTAAGAAGGTAAGGAGACAAGTGCTAGGGGACAGTCCTTAGAAAGAATGGAGTGAGCGCATCATACGCATTTATGTCAAGCTCAAGGTGCTGCCTGCATAGTATGCCCTTAGTTGGACAGCCTGCAGGATTGGCAGGCAGCCTGACATGCATTCATGCCAGGCTGACCTTCCAATTCTTTGGACAAACATGCCCCCTTTTTGGGCATGTTGACCCCTTTTGGCAGGTCTGGTCACGTGATTCGCGCCAGTGGCACACCCTTTTACCCCGCCCATTGACTTCCTGCTTTACTGGACAATGCTGTTAGGGATTATGGATTTACTTGAAAGATGAAAGCATAAATTAGAGAGAAATTAGCATAGAGTATGTGTTTTCTTATAGCTGCATCCTATGAGTTTCCCTCCAGCACCATCTCCATCAGATACATGACGCTTGGGAGGTATGATTGTTTTAGTGTTTTTGGTCGATAAGATTCCGTAATTAGGCCCATCATAATTGTCAGCACCAGGCCCACTGTGCTCTTAATCCGGCCCTGACTCTGTCACCTGTCACATATGCATTCACACAGACACTATGTACAAAAAAGCACATGTAGTCATCCAGACATGCACAAGTGCATTCACACAGACTCAAATACAAACATGCATTGATACACAGGTCTTCACAATATACACATCCAAAGGAATGCCGTATTATGAATTATATTTAACATTTATTTAATACACATATATTTGGCCTTCAAAGGGCCTGGGATCTAATTTTGCCCGGGGGCCCCAAAGGCTCTCAGTCCGCTCTGGCTAGGCCCTCTACTTCCAGTGAAGGGAAATCTTAATGCTTCAGCACAACCAAGATATTTTGGACAATGCTATGCTTTCAACTTTGTAAGAACAGTTTGGAGAAGGCCCTTTTTTATTCCAGTATGACTGGGCCCTAGTGTACAAACAAGGTCCATAAAGACATGATTGGATGAGTTTGGTGTGGAAGATCTTGACTGGCCCGCACAGAGCCCTGATCTATCCATCAAGATATCTATTTATCTATCTGTCTGTTTATTTATGTCTGTTTTCTATATATGGCTGGTTGGCCAAATAGATGGTGAAATCACTGAAACATTGTCAAAATAGTGATGCAAGAAAAACTAAAAAGAATCATTTTGACAAGACTGCTATTTTGGCCTACATATTGCAATTCATTTGTCACCAACAAGTTAATATTTACAGAATAAACCCTCATGTTCCAATTTTAAACTTCCCCACATCTCTTTAGAGCCTATTTATTAAAAGAGAAGAGTCATTAAATAAAACCTTGAAAATCACCTATAACGTACCTATCTTGGATGCAATGCTTTTTTTTATATCTATGTTAAAGAGTCAGCAAATTATATCACAATCTGGTTCGTTGGACACATTGCAAGTGAGAAGAAAATAATCATAATTTAATTTCTTCTCTTCTCCGTATGCTTTCTATATGCTGATTGCCAGGTGCAGACTACTTAAAACAATGATTGACAGAAAGCCAATATAGATTCATCCAGCTGCAGGATAGAGAGGTGTGGATTTCCACATTTAATTTCATATTTCACACCTCACAAATACATATTTGTTAAATAAAGGGGACAAGTAAACTTATTTTTTTTTTTTTTATTATTATTTTTTTTTTTTGCTGTGCATATCATCATTACATATAGGCTTGTCATGCCCCAAAAGCAGTTGACTAGCAGAGAGCATACCATGCATTGAAACATATTTGGGACATTCAGATAATACGTGTAATTTTTAAGGGGTTAATATAACAAGAGTTAACCATTGCTAGTTAAGATGAGTAACAGTCTGCCCATAACTATAGTGTGAAATTATTAGAGTATTACTGAGGCATCATTTGTATCAGAACAATTGGTACAAAAACAGAGTATTAGTTGTTATAACAAGCTAGTGCGTTATGATTATTTAATTGCTGAGTGTTGAAATGCAAGCTAATCTATTGTTCCTTAAAAAGGGTTTAAATACGCTGAAATCTAGTAGCGAGCGTCTGCCATGTATGTAACATTGAGACCCACGGTGCTAATAGTAAAACCTGTGAGGGCAATTAAATACGTTAGGCGATGTCAGGGCTCTTGATAGAAATAAAAATAAATGTTAAAGTGTTTTTAGAGAGTACGTTAGAGAGAGTACATTAAACAGGCCCAGGAGTCCTTGGAAGCATCCTCTAGGGCTTAGGCATCACTTAGTTTCGGATAATCCTACGGGTTAGCAGGCTGTCGGTGTCTGGTGTGCAAGCCGTCTCATTTGCAGAGGCACTTCACCCTATCCCCCGTCTGGGCACTGCTCGGAGGTAGCTAGTGAGTCCTTCAGAGGGGGCTCTGCTGCGTCGGCTGTATGAGG